TTGCTCTTTCCTACTTTTCTTCACTTTTTAGATTGTGTTAAGTTAAGTAAACCAATAGTGCTGTCGCATTAGTTTGGAGATAAAGGACCTTTCCATTACAGATTTAACTATCAGAGTTGGTTTGAGACTTATTTATTTCTCTAGTATAGATTACTGAGCTACTCAATCAGTACTTATATATACAGCCATTTAGATAACACTGTAACAGCTGACAATATAATACTAACACACCAACAATTAATAAATCAGTATATATCCGTATCAAGGTTACCCTTCAAACTTTCCTGATACAAGTACTCAGCTCAGCTGCACAAATTCATCAATGACATTCCTGACTTTACATCAAGGTTATTTTTAAATGTACTTCTTAGTCACATTAATTATAAGATATAACTATATATGTGTATAAATAGGATCCAGTGTAAGTGCTCTAAGTGTGAAAACTTACTGACTAATGTCTGTGCCATTTCATAAGACAATAAAACATGTTTAAATTTATGTGTCTAATAAAGAGACCCAAATGTAAGCATACATTATTAAATATGTAAATCAAAATAGGCAAACTTGAGGCTGTCCATAACCTTTGTTTATTGTAAAATATGTAAAAACCATTATCAAACAACTCATGAAAAGTGTCCCAAGGTATATCTGTAGAGGTATACAGACATATATACCTACTGTATGTTATTTCAGACTTATTTTCCTTCTATATAAGTATACTGAATAAATACATGTATATCAATACAGATGTATGACAGCTCCACACCTTATATCAATAAGTCACCAGTGTTGTATACCCAACCCTCTATATGTACTAAACCCCTACATTTTAACCGTTGAAGATCAAACGTAATATCGCCATTCAAAGATCCAGTTCCTGTATACATTCAGGTCTAACATAGGGAGCATGGACAATCTCTAGTGAAAATAAACAGCAAAGTCAGGTCTTATAGAGAACCTTTGTATATATATATCCCTAATAAAAACAACAACTTTTCAGAAGTCAGCAAGTTTTACGATTCCACCTTAAAAATAATATTTCCTAAACATGATAAAGATGGTTTAACATTAACGATACCTGTTTTTCCATCTTCACTTCGTCCTTCATCTTTGACAGCTAGTATGTCCTTAATGTTTTACTATAGAAGGAGTTCTTTGCTGCTCTCAATAATAACATCCGATCAGGGTTGGTGCTCTACCACTAGTGTTTACAGTGTAAGACCAGGTACGAGGCCCAACCAAGGGGTCTTACGGATCTGTATACATGACGACCTTATACACGTACTGAACATAAACACTTTTAATAACAATTACTTTAAATCAGCTAAAATTAATTATCAATGCATGCCTGGTTTTTTTCCTTACTTGTCTTTTTAGACAGAGTAGGTTTGTCTTAAAATGTTTTCAGTAATTGAATTCCTAGGTAATAAATTTTATTGGACTCCCTATGACTGGCCCCTGTGGGAACTGTCAGTGATGATGTAAGAAAGACAGCCCTAAGGAGACCATGCTTTCTTTGATTATTTAATTCTTCACTCTCTCCTAAGATACTAATCCTTGTATGTGTAACTGTCAGTAAACATCCTTAGGCCTCACCTGTCCACAGCCATCTCGTTAGGTCAGGTACACCTGTACAATTAGTGCACCTGGGGACAGACCGACCCACAAGAATTATCTATGTTCTTGTGTGGATCTTTTATCAACATTAGTGAAAAAAATTTGATGTTTTCCATTTTTTGAAACATGTTTGTTTTTGGTATATCACAATAAGCTTAACAACAAATCTTTTCTCAATCATAAATCTATACTATTTTCTGACATAAATTTACTGCTAACTTCTGACAACAGGTGTGTATAATCATCTGAAGTGACCAAACTCACAGCAGCATTGGATGATAGAGGAGAAAAAGGTGAAGGAGGGATGTTGACTTCCGCCTCATCAGACTTAGTGATTGATTTACAACAGGAAATTATCACCTCTACATCAGATTGATGAGTGATCCAACACATTACTGGATCTACTGGTAGAGGTGTAGTTCAGGTATCATATAAAGGGAAAAGGAGACCTCAGACAGGGACATATGATGGGGGGTGGGGGAGAACAGCAATCTGGAAACGTACTACTGGGTAGGGGAATTGGAGATCTTGGAACATACAAAGGGGAAGGCGGAACAGCACATCAGGACATATATTACTAGAGAGGGAACAGGTAATGTTGTAACATGAGATGGGGAAAAAGGACAGCAGATCTAGAAATATACTATTGGGACGGGAAACAGGAGATCTTGTAACACATGTTGCTGAACAATCCCCTGGGTGAATGGACAGTTCCGTGAACCAACACAACTTAGAAAACCTGACTGGTGTTGACAGCTAGCGATCTAAGAGCCTTTGACATTTAACATTTAAAAAGAAGGTCATGTTTTTGTGGCTATAGAGAGTAACAGGGAGTAACCTATTGTATTGTAACAGTGATGTTCATTATCATAATCAGCATTCATTATCTAATCTGAGAAAGTTCTTAAGGTACAACATCTTGTCTCGGTCAACACATACAGTTATGGCAACACCCACACACTTAAAGGAAACAAAAAATAGACATGAAATCTTTAGAGTTCATTTCAAGTGCTACTGATTAAATTTGAAGGTTGACCAGTACATATCGTTTAACTGAATATATGTTTTAGAGAATTACACCAGTAACTTAGATATCGTAACACTCCAACTTCCTGATAACTCCTATATGTACGTACTTCAAGTATTAGTTAAGTATGAGACCTCAAGTTTAAGTCATTGGTGCAAATTACCAGCATGTTCTCAATCACATCTAAACAGGGTAGATATTTTTCTTTCCTTTTTTGACTTTTCTGATTTTGTCTTTAATTTTCTTTTTCAATCCTTTAATTTTTTTAATAATTTTTTAACAAATCTTTCAATTATTTTCTTCTCTGTTTTTATCTTTCATCTTCATTTTTAATCCCATAATTTTTTTCTCGATATAATTTTTTTAAACATTCTTTCAACATTTTCTTCTCTGTTTCAATCATTTTCCCATAATTTTTTTCTCGATATAATTTTTTTAACATTAACAAATCTTTGTGTTTAAATTGTTTTTAATATAGATTTTTCAAACATTTATACATCTTTCAATTATAAAACATGGAAGGTACCATATTTTGTTATTAACTATAGACCTAAGTCTTTAAACATATGTGGAGGATCTCTCATACTTCCATTGGCTGCTTACATTACTTGAAATTTCAAAGTTTTCTCAAAAATTCAGTTAACAGTGTATTACATGATGACTTCAGGCTAAAACAATAACAGTACAACACAGCATTCATGAGATATAAAAAATGATAGAACAAATGAAAAGAATTCTTCCCTACTACATAACACTGGCAGTTTAAATCAAAGAAGACTTTCATTACACAAACTGCATTTTTATTTCAGTGTGTGGGAAAATTTCTTTCCAGAAAACCTTGTGAATGGTAAACAGCTTGATAGTGTTTAAAATCCTACAGCTATGAAATTCACCACACTGCCGTATCAGACATGTTTATTTCACTCCTATTGATAATTATGTACAAGTAAAAAAAATGCATTAAAAAACAGACGCTGAGCAACATGGAAATGCAAGAGGTCCAATGGGCCTGCTGATCACATCTATATGTCCTTGCAAGTTATTAGTTAGGTCTATACACAGCATGCAGCACACAGCTTGTAAGCATAGAGTTATATAATAAGTGTATATTACTACCAATCTCACACACTTGTAGTAAATAGCAATTTATGATACCAGGACACCCAAAACAAAACATTGGAAATGTCCTTGACTCCAATTTAACATATAGGTGAAGGTCAACCACATTCATAAGCATGTATATTGATTTTTGGGCAATAATAGATTTATTTTCCCAGCTAAACACAGTACCTATGACTGTACAACACAGACTAACATGCAGTGTGGTTGTGCTACCACTAAACCCTATCTGTGACCATGTGATGCTTGTCTTGGCAGTGTCACCTTATAATTGAACCCTGTGTTTTTGCATGATTTTGCAGTAACACCTGGTGACCATGTGGAAATCTACTCTGACCTTTATTAAGACTCACCTGTACTGACTAAAACAAGCATAAAACACAGGTAAAATATTCATGACCTGACAATAATCAACAATGTGGAACTCCTCCATACTCATCGAACTGTCAGAGTAAAACCTCGGATTCTCTACTAAATGTACATCTGTAACAGCTACTGTTAAAGATTAATAACTTAAAGTACAGGACTTTGTTATCTGTTACCGATTATCAGAAAAGTAAGTTTTATTAGAGTAAAGGATACCAGTATATATTATTTTAAACATTTCATCTGTGATTTATTTCAGAGTTAGGGGTATATGGTACACGTTTGTTTGACATAAGGTAGTATGCTACCTTACACATTATACTTTTGATTTCAGTTAGAACTAGGGGTATACACTTCTTTACATATTACATCTACACTTGAGTTAAGTTATTATACATGTGATATTATTTGAGTTAAGGGTATATATTATCTTTACACATTACACCTGTGATTTGTATTCAAGTTAAGGGTGTATGCTACCTTACACATCATACATGCAATATTGAGGAAAGGTACAGCAAAATGAAAGAGCAAGGGAGTAACAGATATAATGACAATCCAGTGTAATTCTACTGAGGTTTTACAAACAATAAATCATCATATTTCATCCTCAGTGATTTTTTTATTCTTTACTCATGATTTTGGCATTATATGCTTTTGATACATAAGTAAGCATGGGTCATTATAATGAGGTGTTAAAATATCTATGGAGTAAGTTTGTCCCTGGTTATATAGCAGTAGCAATTTTTCTAAAAAGATTGATGCTTTTTAGATTTAGGCAAATTCACTGAAAATGATTTGTGCTATTTTTGTGAACTGTGATTCACATTGTCACCAGTACTTGCGTTATCTCTATATTAAAACAACTTACCCTTTTCTCGGCAGCCTTCCTGGCATTGTGTTCCAACTCCATCTCGTCCTCATGCTCCTTTGTCATTCGTTTCTTGGTGAAGTTGAGTTCTCTGACAATCCTCTCGTATCTCTCCTTATAGATGGATCCATCACCTGAACAAATCCATAAATATCATGACTCAACAAATATCACAAACATATGATTTCTGTTTAAAAATCAAACAATTTTCATAAAATAAAATTATTTCAGTTTAAAATCAAATTTATTTGAATTCAGTTGTTTATATAGTAGAACATACTTTTATCTCACTGCCCAGCACAGACGCATTCTATAACTAATTATCCATGTTCTCCCTGTCCCTCTCCTTATTCAGTGACTCCACCTATCCTTGCCCTACCCCACAAACACCCTATAACTCACCATAGGTATCTTCCTTGTCCAGATTCTGTAGCTACATCCCACTCTCAAACAGGCCCCTTTGCTCCACCTCAGACACATCCAACTGCCCTGCCATACTCAAAAACTAAATGACTGGACCAGCCCGCCCAACCCTAGGCACGCACCATTGCTCCACCCCCTCCTTACTCCATTGCTCCACCCCCCTCCCCACTCCACTGCTCCAACCCCTCCCCACTCCATTGCTCCACCCCAGACACATCCAACTGCCCTGCCATACTCAAAAACTAAATGACTGGGCCAGCCTGCCCAACCCTAGGCTCACACCATTGCCCCACCCCTGACACACTCCACTGCTCCATTCAAGACCCCCTCCCCCCAATACACCCACTATCCTGTGCCCCCCTTCAGACTTCCCCAACTGCTCCACCCCAGACACACTCCTCTGCTCCATTCCAGACCCCCCCCCCCTTCCCCCACCTCCCCTCAGTCCCTTCAGACATCCCAACTGCTCCATCCTGACACACCCTGTAACTCACCGTCCATGTCTTCTCCATCTATTTCCCCATCCAATGACTGGGCCTGCCAGAGATGGACCTGAGTGAGCTCCATCTCTATCTTCTCTCCATGCCGCTTCAGCACTGTGTACTTGGACTATAAGAAGAAATACACAGTGACTCACTTGTTTATATCCTAACACAAAATCTTAAGCTATTGTTTATATGTTACTATATCAATGCATGTTTATCACCTGAGTAATACCTTAGAGTTTTGTGTAACTTCCCATTATATGACACAAAGTCTATGTTTCTCCAATATATTTGGAAAAGATTTTGATATATTGGAAGACTTAGAGAGATTATGACACTGGATTCTTGACATACCTGTTTTAAACAATTTCATATCTAACAAATATGTACTCTTTTGACACACCTGGACACACCTGACACCTGTACACCTTTTATAACACCTGTACACTAGTGAACAGACCTAAGAATATTCAGCAGACCAGTAGAAGTGGGACTTACCTGGAGATCTTTTAGGTCTTTTTCCAACCTCATCCTTTCTGACGTCTCTGCCTCCAACATCTCGGAGGACTGTGTGGATGCTGAGTGTTCCTCTGCTAGGTCCGCAGTTGCTTCTGCCAGCTACAGCGAGAAGGACATCATTAGGCCAGGCACACAAAGGGGCTGGGCAGGAAAGGTGGGACAAAGAGTTGGGGAGGAAATGTATAGACACATTGAGGACTGGGGAAAGAAAGGGCAGAGAACATGAAGGGCTCGAAAGGAGAAAGGACAGGGCTCGAAAGGAGAAAGGGCAGGGCACACAGATAATTGGGAAATGAAGAGATGGAGCAAAGCATGCAGAGGAGCTAGGCAGAGACTAAAGGTGATTACAGAGAGCTGGGGCTGAGCATACAGAGGGTATGAAGATGAATATGTGTTAGGGACACAAATAAACATGGAAGGAGAAGGGCAAATAGGCATCTTAAGGTTGAGGGGAGGGGTTGGGAAGTGGCCCAGGCATCTAGAAGGTTGAAAGGAGGGGTTGAAATGTGGAGCACAGTGCGGGTTAAGGGGAATGGAGTGGAAAGAGTAAAAAAAAAAAAAAAAAAAAAGAGGGGGGGGTGGGGGGGAATAAATGGAAAGTAAGAGAAAGGAAAGGGGTAGGGGCCCACATACAGTAGAAGAAAAGTAGGGTATACACACAGGGTTAATGAGGCACATGGAAAGTTTATGAGGGAGTAAGGCACATGAAGGTTACTGAAACCTAGCAGGCCAGGGAAACATGGTCTGGTCAAATGTTGGTTTATAAACAATATCTACACCTGGTTATTTATAAAGGACCAATGTGGACATGGCTATACAGTATATGCACAATTAATGTTTATTGGTGAGAAGTGAAATCTCTACTGTAGATATTGTATATACAGCTGTGTCAGGCCATACTTAATGCTTCTAAAAGACTGCAACATATCAGGAATCCTAGGCAATTAATGCAGGACATAACACACACCACATACAGACTTAAGTGTCGTTCAATGACAGCCGATACTCACCCTATTCTCCAGTTTCTCACTCTGCTGTTTGTATTCATTCCTCTCTCGTTCTATCCTCTCCAGCTTGGTCTTCATCTGGTCTAGTTCATACTGGAAAACACAGTGACATTGACGATCAGGGAACACAAAGATAGCCATAACAGAAACAGTCAGTCTGTCACAAACTTTGTTTTATACAAATTAAATCTTCTCCTGATAAAACTACTCATTATAAAATATAAAAATAACAAACATCCATATCAACTTGTGTACATGATAATTAGTCACTGGAGCAGTGTGACAGAAGGAAGCCATTTCCTACTCGTGTATCTGGTCTCTCACATCATGATATTTCCTGATCTACCTTTCTTCACTCACATTTCTTCACCTACCTGGCTTGTCTTATGTTTCCTTTAAAACTAATCTTTTAACACCCTATTAAGAGTAGAACAAATGTTCCGAACTTAGCAACACCAATTCTACAGCGTCATCTGAACACAAAATATTCCCAATGTTTCTACTACAAAGTTCTTTAAACTTTATCCTTAAAACTGCAGACTTTCACATTTAAAGTAGAAATCCATGAACATTCTAAACTCTGAAAAAAAGAGTTTCATAATATTGCAAAGGATTGGTGTTGAAAGCCTGACTGTCTGTCAGTATTTTCTCTGACACTATCCTGCCTGTATATCTTACCACAAACAGTAACAGCTGTCACTGGCAATTATTCTGTACCATATTCATAAGATCTCTGCCGTTATAAAGAAGTGAAAAGTGAAATAAACAGAAATCTAATCCCCGATAAACATGTCCCCACCGTCACTGTAAACATCAGTCAGTAAGGATGAAAACATTCTAATATATTTTCACAAATAAACAAATTATAAAATCACCACTATGATCAGTGGTAAAGGACTAGACACGACACAGACCATTACAAATACACAGAGACATGCAAATACAATAAATAATATACATTTTCATTTCAGTAATAATTACTAGACACGACACAGACCATTACAAATACACAGAGACATGCAAATACAATAAATTACGTCGGGGGTCAGCGCATGGATGTTCCTATTTCTATAGATAATGGGAACCCCATGATACCTGTCCCATTTGCCGACATTACAGCCAGACCTCACTATGTGAACTTTGTTTGCACATGGAGTCTGCTGCTTAGGCTCCCATGCCTTTCCAGCTAACTTTCCGCCGGAAGAGGGATTCGTCCTCTTCTTCCGGTAAGGGAAGTAAGCTTTTTAAGACCTCCCTCCTGAAGTTCTGAACCAGAGCGTTCCTGCTGGGGGTGCTCTCGTTCCACCGAGCTCCGCCCTTCAGCAGGGGGTGGCTCCCCCTGTCCAGGTGCGTCCTGGAGTAGGGGGGGGGGCAGCCCGACCCTGACTCGGCGCAGTCAAGGGTCGAATTGGCCGGTAGCTCTCGATAGGCGGCGGTGTTACCGTCGGAAAGGGACTTCCGGTCGAGGTCTCTGATTCCTTCAGGGACCTCGGCACGCCAGGTGGCGTCGTTG